AGATGGTTTCAAATAAGTTGAACGAATTTGCCGTCAAATGGACGGAGTAAGAACAGCATTGTTCTCCGGATCGACGCTGCTCATTGTGTTTTCATCTTCCTTTTAAAGTGCATGACCTGACGCGACAAAGATCCTCTTGTATTGGAAATCCGTACGCTTGTGAATGTTGGACCTTGCGCGTACTTGAGCGAAGACCGCGGGTGTGACTTCACCACAGATGACCCCACTCGTTGCGGCCTCGGGGCAATCTCAGCTCACCCATGAACTACGACTGAGATGGTTTAAGCACGCTCTTTGTCGTCCATCTCACAGCTTCATGGTTTCTAGTCTAGATCCGGCGCCTTTTGTCTCAGTTTGAGGCATTGGAGAATTCTATTCGAAACCTCAACGCAACTAACTCATACATTGAGGTGGTTACTGGACCTTTGATATTAGGCCTTTGTCGCGGGAGGAGCGAATGAATCGAGCTTCCCGGATCCGTCGTCGTAGATCTTTGTGCGTGAAGAAACACAACTGCGTGAACTAAATCATAGCGTAAGATCGCCTCACGCACTTAAAGGCGCGAGTCACTTATTCCTTGGCGTCGTTAAACTTGGTCAACACAAATCTTCTCAGGGAATGTGGGTTCGAGTAAACCGACCTTACCGCCAAACATTAGGAGTATCAGTAAATCGTAATTTATAACCCTGGCGAATTTTGATCATACAGATATTTATAACTGACACCCAATCTCAATCAGTAAATGCCGATTGAATTCACACATCTGCGAACAACAACAACTTAGAAAATTGGTTAATCTGCCTGCGGGAGATATATTCCTCCTCTTGGGAGTCTTCGTCCAAAGTAGCGTCTACCTGTCGCTCAGAGGATAGCAGAAGCTGTGGTAGAATAACCACTGGAATTAGACCGGAGTCTGCACATATGTTGGTCTACTTTTTTTCACACAACTTCTGTCCGTCCCAGATATGAATGTGCCTAGTGTATATAAATCCGCCCTCAACCATTTTGAAGCACGCAGTTGCCACCACTTCAGAATTGAGTAAGTACGTCTTGTTATGGGCCGGCCTAAATGATTGTGGTTCCTTCCCTTTTGTGAAAAACAGCACCGTTTGATTCCGTCATCAAGGCATTGCGAACAAGTGCGCTCATCCGTGAGTTGGTTACATGATGTACAAGCTCTGTCTGGTTTACGCGAGTTGACAAGATAACGCGACCGGCTGGCGAAGTTAAGACAACGGGATAGTGAGGTCAGAGTTACCAATGACTGCAGTGGTGCATTACTGTTGCAGGTCAACGTTTCCGACTATTGCTGGTCATGTCCCGCCCCCCCTTCCTGACTGCTGGTTGTTTCTACAATTTGGCAACAGCCTCACCCCGCAGCGCGTACGTGAGTGCATGCGCGCAGGCTAGAGCTGACCTGCTTGCATTGCTTCCTTCACAAAAGCGTTGCTGTGCTGGCACCACTGGCTCTTATGTGCACATTGTTGGCTCAGTTCGGCTGCGTGTGTCTGTGTGTCAAAGTCCACAAATCGGTTGAACTTGCGCGCAGCTTTGTCTGCGATATTGTTTGCCAGTTTAGTTATCTCGTTGTAGTGTCCTTCAGCAGTTTTGGAACCAAGTAATGCCCCTCTGATACATAAAAGTGTCAGATTTCAACGTTGCGCCTGTCCGGGGCCCCGATCCAGACGAGGTAACCAAGCTGGGCCGATGATCATTTTTCGTTGGCTTGCTGATAAGTCCACTAACTTCTACAAATTAACTGTTGAATGAGGTAATGATGAAGTCTAGTTTCCTTAGAATCGGATGTTGACAGTTTTCCTTGTGCTTATTAGTTGTCAGTAGGTGTTTTCATCTGTCGCAACAGGAGACCCGCAAAAACTGGCGCCACCTTAAACCTGGCGGACCTTAATTGCTGTCCTATGAGTACGCCTAAGCAGATGAATATACTCTAGACTTGCATCGTGGTGTGTGAATTCGCAAAAATTATACAAGCTTCAAAGTCCTCGAAGGCTGGAAGATTGGTGCAGCTAAGCAACTCTGAAGCTGATTTAGCAGGGCCACTACTTCTGTAACATGAACTGCCTGCTGGATGCATATCCTGCTCTGACTCCGTTGGAGGAAAAAAAAGCGTATTTGGATGAGTGAGGCAGGACATTCCAACATAGACGTATCCAATACGGGAGCTTTGATTCTCTGTAACATATCCAATATGCAATCTTCTCTTGAATAGGAAGGGGGACTTTTAAGTGCGCAAAACCTATTGTGAAACCAGCTGAACGACGTTCGGAAGTACTCAGTTCGGTTTTTTAGGCGGCGCAGGCTGCATAGCAGTAGTAGGAGACTGTGTTTTACGATCACTGATCCGCTATCCTTACGTTTATACTTGTTCCTTTGTCGGATAACCGAAGACTCTTTCATCTGATGAACGTTTTCTCACGCTGATTTTCCCAGGACACCTAAGTATTCGTATTATATGTTAAATGGTGACTCCTGGGGGAGAGTCGAGGCTTGTTATTGATTCAACTCCACTCGATCATTTAAAGGCCTTTATAGCCGTTCTTTGATCGTATGCCAACATGCCTGACATTTTCTATAGCGTTTCACGTGATCATATGCGATGACACCAACTGCATTTTTCTCCCAGTAAGACACTTCCATTGGATCTGCCGTCTCGCACTGCATCGTAGAACTATGCAAAGGGTCTGTTTCCTCTTATGCTCACCAATGGAAACTTTTACATACCCTACGTTACAGCGCAACAGTTTTCACTGCCAGCTCAGCTTTTGTAGTTTTGTCGAGGGGAATTACCTTCCCATCATGTGTCGATGTATGCTTTCGATTATATTAGCAGATACGCGTACACCGATCTGTCAGAGGACACACTCGTCCGTCCATGTTACCATTAGAGCTCTCACTTGAGCCTCCACCGCGAGGCGGCTGGGATATAGGCAGAAGGACATTACCAGCAAAGACTTGGGACTCTAGAAAGGTCTTTTCTGGCTCATTCGCCGTCATCGGCTCGTGATACCCAACTCCGGTGTTGCCGCTGAAATTGTTGCCACACCCGACATGATCGGAGAGATCGCCAGTTCAAAACTTGACTGACCCAGCAGACCTTGGTCACTCCCCCACAACGTCTTTAGTTGATAATTTTGAATCTGGCGAGTATACGTATACTTTCGATAAATTCTCGTCAGGCCTGCAAATTTATATGGAAACGGGCTGCAGGTTCAAACGTGTTCGTCTTTTCGGACAATTGAGTCGTGGGAATGGGGTGGGGTCGATTAAAGAAGGCTGGTTATAAGGGCGGGGTTTGATAAAACAGTCTAGGGGAGGGAGGAGGGCCTGACGAGAGTTTCTCGAAAGTATACGTACACTCGCTAAACTCGTCTTCTGAGTTATGATTTTTTTACATTTCGTGGCCCCACCGCGCTGTATATAGGCCTTATGGTTAAGGATCGAAAACACGCGTTTGCTTACCTTGGCTTCTTCGATGCCTTGGCTGAACTTTTCGTTTATTTTCCCTTTTAAGGTCAGGAGGATTATGACCGGCTGCGACCCCTCTCTTACCCACAAACTGACGTTTTCCTCGTATGCTTCTCACTCGTAAGTCCAGCATCGTTTGAGAATGTTCGAGCCAAGTGGCTGCCCGAGGTGCGTCATCACTGCCCAAATACGCCAATCATTCTGGTCGGCACAAAACTCGATCTCCGTGATGACCAGGACACCATCGAATTTCTCAAAAGCAAACAGTTGGCTCCTATAA